TCTAATACAGCTCAAGATCATTCTAAAACTGTTCAGGAAACATTCATTTCTGTCCTGTCAATGTGATTTGTTTTTAGTATCAATACCTGCTCAATTGAGTGTCTAGTTTTGATACTAGTTTCACTTTTGCAATTCATCTGGTTTTCTTCTGTGATCACAAATGCCTCTGTGCTTTATGTGAGTGGGCTTGCCTCTTTACAGATATGACCAGTAACGTAGTGTGCTGGTATCACCCGCTTGTCTCCACCTCACAGGGGGTCCTGCCTGCCTGGAGGCGAGCAGGTGGTGGACCCCCCTGAAAGTTATAACTTTAAAGCTGGTCATGAAGAATATTTTGACAGTGACATCGAACAGGTTATGATATGATTGTCTGGATGTAGTCCTGATTTAGTCCTGGTTTGGTCTTGGTTTAGACCTGGTTTAGTCATGGTTCAGTCCTGGTTTAGTCCTGCTTTAATCCAGGTTAAATCCTGGTTTAGTCCTGGTTAAACCCTAGTTCAGTCCTGCTTTAATCCTGGTTCAGTCCTGGTTAAGTGCTGGTTTTAGACCTGGTTTAGTCCTTTTAAAATCCTGGTTTAGACCTGGTAAAGCCCTGGTTCAGTCCTGGTTTAGTTCTACTTTAGTTTTGGTTCAGTCCTGCTTTTGTCCTGTTTTAGTTATGCTTTGGTCCCGATTAAGACCTGGTTCAGTCCTTGTTTAATCCTGCTTTAGTCCTGGTTCAGTCCTACTTTAGTCCTACTTTAGGTTTGGTTTAGTCCTGCTTTAGTCCTGGTTAAGCCTTGGTTCAGTTCTGGTTTAGTCCTGCTTCAGTCCTGCTTTACTCCTGCTTTAGTCCTGCTTTAGTCCTGCTTCAGTCTTGCATTAGTCCTGCTTTAGTTCTTATTTCTTCTCAGCTCTGGCAGCTCCACAAACCCTCAGTATTACATCGCCTCAGTTATGTTCTTACAAAGAGTGGAAATCCAATGGTACGAGTCTTTTCACAGTTTTAACACCTCTGGAAGCCAAATCTATAAAAGCTTTTCAGCACAAAGAGTCGAACATGGAGTGAAAACACAGCCAGACAGGGCCACAACTAATAATGCACCAAAGTAAAGGGTCTGACGAGATTCAATATGTTTTTATGCGGGAGAAGAATGATGTGACAATGTTCCTGAATTTGGTTTTCTAAAGGAATTCTGCAAGGTTTGTCACGAAGATCTCAGATGTATAACTACATCTTACAGCTGAGTGTGAGAGATAGATTGAACAAATTTGATTGAATATTGAATTGTATCAGATTTTCGATGTGTTTCAGTAAAAAGTGTCTTCCCCGAGTACAGATATATTGTATAAACAGCTATTGAGGTCAAAATAAGTCCGCTGTGTCCTGTCTACCTCGAGTTATTAAGTGTTTTGTTGTCTGATAAGCAGGATGTGCACGTTAGCATGCTCGTTTTTGGTTTTACCGTGATGGGAAAACTCTGCTCTGGCCATATTCTGTGTATATAAATGGATATAACTAATGTTCCAAATAGGAAGTTCGCGTGCGGGCACTTCTGGCTCCTTCTGTCCCTGGCTCCAATTGACTTACATTGGAATAATGTGGCTTCTCTCTCTGTACCTGCTGCTGTGAGACTCATCATTTTGGTCGCAACCCTTCCTCGCATAACTTTCCAACCATAAAAGATAGAAACTTACTTTTTTCCCTTGAAAAGCTGAGAGTTGCTAGTCTGAATCATCAGCCGGTTTCACTTTGTGGAAACCGTCGGACCTTGCAGCATTAGGATTTGTTCACTCGACAGTAGGCAGATACTTTTTATATCCAACCAGTCGCTGCTATTTGGTCGTGACATATGTAATGCGCCAAATCCTGTAGGAAGAAGGGCAATAATAAATGATAAAATTCACCAAACATTCTCTTTGTTCCCGCTCTAAATCCTCGATCTTGGGAATTGTTGCCAACACAGAATGTCAGTCTTCATCTACATCCATCTCGACCGCCTTCTTTACTGTTGTGCTGCACCACAAAAGGGGCACACACAGGCAGGCGCTTTGTTTTGATGTCATGGCTTTCCAGCTCTTCACTGATTTCCCGGTGCACATTCTACAACTTGCAAACCGTCTAGTGTATTCTGATTTCTGACTAGTCGCTGGAGAGAAATGAAATTGAGTGGAGGCACTAGGCGGCACCAGCCTGACTAAAGAGTTGTAGCTTTCCGAGCATATTTCTGGCATTATCCTATGTCACATACAAACTGACGTTGGGAAAACAAGTGTCCAATAGGAATTTTGTTTTCTGCCAAACGCATGTGCTCAGTCTATTCTGATTGGCCCAAAGTTTGCCAAAGAGTGTAGTGAGTCAAAATGGTCGCATTCTCTGAGCGTCTGTGTTCCTATCTATTAAAAAAGCCGCTCTAAGTGCAGTTATTTCTCAAATAAATGTCAAATTATGCATCTTGGTCTTGCTATTTTATATTTTCTGTTTGAAATGTTTCTTTGACTCAAAACGTACAAATCCAAATGTAATAAACACCATGGAAATGCAGGAAGTGATGTGGCTCTGAGCCCTAGACCTGACACCAGCTGTTTCCATGACTGACCCCCGGAAAGTCAAGAGGCCATTGCACTTTATTTTGTTTTTTGAAGCAATATGGATATTTTGAGTTTACTTACAGACTTGAGATTTCGCGCTTTTGAAGCTAAGGCCCTAAATTAAGTATTTATGTACAAAAGGTTGTTTAGGCGTGTTTGCTGTGTGTTTTGTATGAAAGACTGTGAATTTCATTTTATGTTCTGCTGTTTTCACACTTCATTAGGGGGTAAAAGGGGGAGTTTTAATAGCAAATCCAGGCAAGGACAAATGTACTAAAATTGCCCTTACGTCTGGAAGGGTTTAAATGTTCGTATTAACCCATTTTATATGATCCTTGTGTTTTTATTTCGCTATTTTGTCCATTAAAGCTTCAGTGAGCTTCATTTGACTAGAGCTGATGAGCCATGGATGACGTGACGCTTGCTTAGTCCATTTCTCTGACCCATGAGAGTTGTGAAAAGGCCTTAAAAACTCATCGCTGTCAATAATTCAGATGCTTTGATTGCAAGAGGTAAATGAGGAGGAACTTTGGACCATTGAATTTCTCCTTTGCTTTAATGCCTTAGCACTGTGGAACATTCCAGGCAAACCAAAAGCGAAAAGTAGATGAGAAAAGTTACATAATGTCCCTTTAAATAACTTCACATGAGAAATGAAATGATACACCAGACCTTGGCTAATGGACACGGTGAGTAACTAGTCTGGGTAAGAAAGGTGTTAAGACTCGGTGACAGTTAAATGGTAAATGTGGCATTTTAGCACCTTCAAGGCATTTAAAGCTCTTTAACTCTTATTATAACTATATTAAAGCAGATCTGTTCTGAAAAAAGGACTTTTGAGTGTTTCTGCTCAAAGCTGACCCTCTGGAATTGTGTTTGCAGTGATTTGTGCATGTTTGAGTCGTCTTTAATCACTTATTAAGATGCCAATTTGACAAATCAACTCCCATTTTCACAGCCACTTGTACAGCACATTGTTATGTACTTATATCGTTTTCCAATTTTGTTTTGTTGATCGGTGATACATGTAGGGCTCAGCAGCAGTCATTTTGATACAAATTAATAAAAAAAAAAAAAATACTACTTGCAAGTGTGATGTACAGCTATCCATCGAAAGTGCCAACAGCTGCTCGGCGTTTTGTTGTGATGATGTTTACAGCGGTGTCAGCTCCCATTGGGCACTGGGGCTGGGTATCATTAAGAAGTTGCTGATGCGATACATACCTCGATACATAGGCCATGGTACGATACATATCTCGATACAGTGCACTTTCGATTCAATATGATATGTTTCAAATCGATTCTGTACGGTTCAGTAAAAAATAATGGCTGTGATACTAAAAGTTTTTGTTAAACCACTTTTTGCGCAAAGTTCATATGAAACACAAACATTTTTCTCATCAAAACAGTAAATATGTAAAATATGTTGCATAAACGAGTTCATCCTCTAATCAAGCAACAAAATTGTAGTACTGTAATAAAATATTTTAGTAAAATATACCAAAAAATTGTCTTAGCAAGCCCACGATATCAATACTGTATCATCACATTAAATGATATGATATATGGATAGTTCAATATTTTGCACACCCCTATTGGGCACTGCAGTTTGTAACACAGAAGTCAGTGTTTCTTTTATTAAGTCGTCTCGGATCAATATTGTGATTGAAAATAATGATCCTCGTGTCATAGATTATAACTACAGAGCACAAACAAGCACAATGTGTTCTATAAAACTTTGAACTTTTCTGGGGAGGGTCCATCACATACTGTACTTTACGAACAGACCACCACTAGCCCAAGTTTTAGTTCAGATCCGTGCAGAGGCAACGTCAGCTCACAGTAAGAAAGCATGTTTTTCAAGATATTTTTGAGCTATAAAACCTCCTGTAATTGAATAAGTGCAAGATGGATGTTTAATGCACTGGACATTGGAACATCCTTAGCAAAGCAATGTCATCTCCATGGAGACAGCATAGCCTGTATGAAGAAGTGGACTGAGTGAGTGTGACGTCACCCAAAGCGTTCAGCTTCAGTCAAATGAAGCTCATTGAGGCACTGGCAGTTTTAGAGGTGAATATGGAGACAGGTCTATATTTGGAAAACCAACCAATGCCCTCTCCCGTCCCCACCACCGGTCTCGTGGGGGGTGGTGCTTAGCAACGCTGTCAGTCAAACCTGACCCTGCAGTAGAGACCTCAGGGAAAGAAGACATCTGATTTGTGAAGCAAAATAGTGAAATAAAAAACCCAGGATCATGTAGAGCAGCATTTTAAAGACCAAAAGGAAGCAGCAGTTACAGAGAGAGAGATGACAGTTTTTCAATAGAAAATCAATCGAAACCAGAATCGATGGAGCCGGAAGCACACCCATGCTCACTTCCTATTTAGAATGTGGTGGCTGGTAACCCATCATCAACATCAGAAGAGATGTTGATGACGAAGCCCCAAGAAGTCCGTAAGGAGAACAAGTTTGGAAACCCAGATTCCTCGAATGACAGTTTGGTGTACTAAATCTTTTAGCTGTGTATAAGCCGCCTTCCTCTTTAAATTTTTGGTACCAAATCCAAGTTTGTTGGCCAGATGGAGAAGTTTTTCTAAATTTTGTACTGAAGGCTGCACAGTTTTGGGTACGAGCAGATTCCAAGACTCAAAATGACTTCTCTTTGGGAGTGAACAGCTCAAGCTGAAAACAGAAAAAAAAATAAAACACTGCATATAAAAATCTTGATCTGTTTCTATACATTCTGTGAAAATTTGAGTTTTTTTCAAGAAGAATTAACAAAATTATTGCTCTGTGAAATTATATTTTTGGGACACCCTGTAAACAGTCTATGGGAGACAAGCAATTAGCCAACCCACACCAGAAAAGTAACATAGAGCGGCTTTCAAATGTGTGTCTTCTGTTTTCAAAAGCCTTTCAAAGCCTCGCTCCCTGCCATGTCTCTCAGCTGTGTGTGTTTGTTTTGTCCACAGGGGGCGCTCTGCAGATCCAGTGTTACCAGTGTGAGGAGATGAGCACCAACGACTGCTCCACCCCCGACTTCATCGTCAACTGCACTGTCAATGTCCAGGACATGTGCCAGAAGGAGGTGCTGGTCAAACCTGATGGTACGCACACACACACACACACACGCACACACACACACACACACACACGCACACACACACACACACACACACACACGCATGCACGCACGCACACACACACGCATGCACGCACGCACACACACACACACACACATGCACGCACACACACACACACACACACTGGTGGGGCAGGAGGAGGGGTCGGCACAGTCAGGGACGGACTTTCAAAATATTTATGATACCAACTGCTCATTGTTTATCACCAGAGTTTATTCATGCCAATATTAGGACAGAAAAACAAATAATAATAATGAGACACTGGAAGGACCCAGAGGAACCAGCGTTTCATGAGTTTCTGAAATATAATAAAATAAAAAATCTAAAAATAACAAAACAAAACTGAAATTCTATGAAAACCACCAAGCATTGTCTTTTACAAAATTCAAAATTCACTGTATGAATGTGTAACCCGGCTGCATCCCTTTTCTTTAATTTCTTTCTTTGTTAATTTTAAATTTAAAATTGTTATTTTATTATTTCCTTGTTATTATTTAGTTTTTATTTAAATTTTTTTTTTTTTTTTCATTTTAGTTTCTTTAATTTTTTATTTGTAACTATGTCTTTATTATTTTTTTTTATTTGTATGTATGTATGTATGTATGTATGTATGTATGTATGTATGTATATATTATTATTATTATTATTATGTTTTTATTTGAATCTATGCTCATGTAAAAAAAAAAAAAAAAAAAAAAAAGATTTTTTTTTTGGCTACTGGTACTTTTTAATATAATAATATTTTTTTTTCCAAGTTAACAAAACATATCTTTCAGCTTGTTAACAGAAAAATGTTAGTTTGAAATATTGTAAATTATATCGTATTTTGCGATCACTTTCATATCTGTTGTCCTTTTCCAGTTGTGTATCTATCCACAAGGTCAAACTAATGAAAACAGCTATTACAGTATAATCTATCACACCGCCATAAATTACCTACGACTTCACAATCTGAGAAAAAAATAAATAAAAATTACAAAAATCAATCAATACTCCAAACTGGGATCTAGCTTGCTGTATACCCCTCTCCCAGTCCCTCTCCGGTGTTCTGCGGTTGATGTAATCCTGGATAAAGTCAGAATTGATTGATAGCTTACGCGCTAATGCACTATCCGGCCCACCCGGCATCTCCTAGCTCAAACTTAGCAACGTCTTTATCTCCTCCAGCAAGGTGACCGTCTACGAACCCGAGACGCACGTGCAAAAAAAATTCTCAGTCGTTTTTGTCACTTAGCGAAGCCGTGGAGGAGTTATGGCGGTAATTTCCTTGATGTACAACAATTAGCATAACCACGGCGCTACGCGAAAGACTGAGGGGCGGCCATAAACAAGTCGAGAAACACTTAAGGGATTATCTTTGTTGTAATATGACGTTTAAAGGATGTCAGAGATGCTTTCGAGAATTGATATCAGCGAGATTGGGCTGTTGTGCTGAGACGGCTTGGTTATACGGCGATGGTTCGTATCTGATTTTGCACTTTGGTTTACGGTTTACTATCTTGGCTTGAGTGCGAAGCTTTGTAAAGGTCCTATAATACGGAAAATGGACTTTTGTGAGCTTTAAGACATGTTAGAATGATGTTACCTCCTCACAAACAGACCTGGAGTTGTGTTTTGGTTCATTCACACATTTGAGTAACCTTTTATTATTAGTCTGTCTTCATTTCCAAAGATCAAAATGTTCTGTTCCCCCTTATGATGTCATAATGCGATAGTTTACAAGTGAACACGTTTACAAGTTTCCTTTTACCTTCAGTTCAGTAGAGATTGGAATTTCCAAGACTGAAATGATCCATATGATTCTAGTGAAGGTGTATGGAGTTTAAAAACACAGTTAGACCTGGTTTAGTCCTTGTTTAAGACCTGGTATAGTCCTGGTTTGGACCTGGTCTATCTGTGGTTTAGTGTTCATTTATAAATAGTTAAGTGCTAGTTTACATGTGGTTTAGTCTGGCTTAGACCCAGTGAAGTTCTGGTTTAGTTCTGGTTAAATCCTGCTTTTAGTCCAGATTTCCTCTTAATTCTGAGTAATCCTTTATTATTAGCTCAAAATGCTCTGTTCCAGTTCCAGTTTTCAAGTTTTGTTTTTTTTACCTGTATTTCAGTCAAGATTGGAAATTCCAAGGCTGAAATGATCCAAATGATTCTAGAGCAAGTGTATGGAGTTTAAAACACAGTTAGACCTGGTTTAGTCCTGCTTTAGTCCTTGTTTAGATCAGGTTTAGTCCTTGTTTAAGACCTGGTATAGTCCTGGTTTAGACCTGGTTGGGACCTGGTCTATCCCTGGTTTAGTTTTCATTTAGAACTAGTTAAATGCAAGGAGTGTCATCAGTTTGTTTACGGGAAATCTCTTCAGTCATTGGATCTTCCAAGAAAGTGATTGACATATTGTATTAGCCTATCACCAGAGCTTTCAAACGGTGGGTGGGACATTCTGTAGTATTTTTAAACGGACCCTGTGTTTATAAGCGTAAGAGAGAGGGAGACAGGGAGCAGTGCGAGCGGTGCTATAGAAGGCAGATCTTCCACTTGGAGGACAATTTTGGCTACTTTTAGTTTTTTTTCTTGAGAAAACATGCCTAAAGCTCAGAAGAATTTGTATTATAATAATAACAATTATTATTATTATTATATTATTATTATTATTTTGGCACAAATTTGGCAATCTTGTGCCGAATTGTCATTTTGTTTACACAAAGGCTCACAGCATCAAAACCCTTTGTCCTAGAGATCTGAAATTCTACACAGTTGTTGCCAACAACTTGAACAATGAGTGTAGTGAGTCACAAATGCCTAGCATGAAGTATGACCAAGCTAAGGCCTTTATTTTTTTCTATTTTTTTTTCAAAGCAAATTTTTTTTATTTTTTTTCAATTTTAATTGACTGTACTGTAGGTTAGGCAGCACTCACTCAAGCTCAGTTGTCTTTAAAATGTACAAAGTTTGCACTGTATCACCTAAAAGTTGATTAAAACAACTTGTGCTGGATTAGATTTATAATTTATCATTTTTAATATTAAATCATTGAAAGTAACTAAGTACTTTTTTACTTTTACTTGAGTAGATTTCTAGGCAGTTACTTTTACTGGAGTAGGAATTAAGCAAAGTAAAAATACTTATACTTTTAATTACAATTTTTTGTACTTTTTCCACCTCTGGTTAAGTTCTAGTTTACACGTGGTTTAGTCTGATTTAGTCCTGGTTTGTATCTGGTCTAGTTGATCATTTCTCAAGTCCTGGTTTAGTTCTGGTTAAATCCTGCTTTTAGTCAAGATTTCCTTTTGATTTTTGTGTAATCCTTTTTTATTTATCTATCTACAGTACATCTCCAAAGCTCTAAATGCTCTGTTCCACCTTGTGATGTCATGAAGCGGTAGTTTACAAGTTTTCTTTTACCTTTAGTTCAGCAGAGTGTCAGAAAACTGGTATGCCTAAACAGAGGCATGTTGTAATGAAGGGATGTAGGTGGCGGACTCCTTCATGGGCGCACTTCCGGCTCCATCAACTCAGGCTCCAATTGACTTTTTATTGAAAAACCGTCAGCCCTCTCTCTGTAAATGCTGCGGTCAGAATCATCATTTTGGTTTTAAAATGTTCGTATTAACCCATTCTACCTGATCCTGGGGTTTTTATTTCGCTATTTTGTCCATAAATCAATTCATGTTCCTTATTTGCAGTGTTGGAGAGTAACAGATTACATGTACTGGAGTTATGGAATCAGAGTACAAATTATGTAACTGTATTCAGTTACAGTTACTCTTTCAGTGAGTGGTAATTGGATTACAGTTACTTTGTTGAAATAAATGGATTACATGGCGGTATTTTCGTGTTTTCCTGTTTTCACATTTTGGGCTATATCCCCTATTTTTTTTTTTTTTTTTTTTTTTTTTTGTAATTCCACTTATTGCCGGAAACTAAACCAAGTCTAAACTAGATCTAAACTAGATCTAAACCAGAACTAAACCAGGACTACAACCAGGTCTAAACTAGATCTAAACCAGGACTAAAACCAGGTCTAAAAGGTCTAAACCAATCTAAACCAGGACTAAACCAGGATTAAAACCAGGACTAAAACCAGGTCTAAACTAGATCTAAACCAGGACTAAAACAGGACTAAAACAGGATTTAACCATGCTGTGTGGACCGTGTCTTCTCCTCTTCTATCAATAATATTTTTAATACGGTTCAGTAAAGTCTGGGCTTTGTCATCGTCTTTTAGCAGACAAAACATCTTATGTTACGATTTCCTCATCTTTGCTACTCTAAGTAATCCAAAGTATTCAGATTACGTTACTCACTTTAAGTAATTTTATGGATTATGTTACAAACTACATTTTGGTGTATGTAATCTGTAATCTGTAGGGGAATACATTTTCAAAGTCACCTTCCCAACACTGCTTATTTGGAACTCGACTTCAAATTCGGCCCTGTGACTGCTGGCCTCGTGATGTACAACAATTAGTGAAAGACTGAGGAGTGGCCATAAACAAGTCGAGAAACACTTAAGGGATTATCTTTGTTGTAATATGACGTTTAAAGGATGTCAGAGATGCTTTTGAGAACTGACATCAGTGCGATCGGGCTGTTGTGCTGAGCCGGCTTGGTTATACGGCGACGGTTCATATCTGATTTTGCGGTTCAGTTTATTGTTTACTATCTTGGCTTGAGTGCGAGGCTTTGTAAACGTCCTATATTACGGAAAGTGTAACCGCTGGCATCATGAGCTTCATTCGACTCCACAGTCTATGGAACACACGTTTGTTAGAATCCATTGTTTTCGTTACGGTGAACTCGTTTGACTCTTCCCCATCTCGTCGCCGTCGTACGTTCTCCTCATTCATCTCGACACAAAAGCCCCTCCATCAGCGCTCCGTGACACGCGTTTGATTAGCCCGCGCGCCGTACAGAAAACAGAGTGCTGGTATGTACGCTGTGAGTCATGGTGCCGCGGCCTACAGCTGGAG